CTGTATTCCTGTCATCCAAATAAACCTTCTGCTTTACTGGCTGGCTGAGAGGCATGGTGAATCTGAGGAGGGCGGGGGTGCAGGGCCCTGAGTCCCCCAATACTCCGTGACAGCATGAAGGGACATATGAATCTTTAGAGCATCTGGCACGTAAATATCTTGCAACGTCAGCTACAACAGTGCCATGCGAACGCCTGTTCTCACTTTTAGGTGACATTGTAAACAAGAAGCAGGCAGCATTATCTCCTGCAAATTGTAACCAACCCTTGTTTGTCTGAGTGATGGCTGACTAAGAAATAGGACTGAGTGGACTTGTAGTCTCTAAAGTTTTACATTAATTTATTTTTGAATTAAATTTTTTTTGTACATAATTCTACATTTTAAGTTCAACTTTCATTATAAAGAGATTGCACTACAGTACTTGTATGAGGTGAACTAAAAAAAATTGTTTTTGTTTTTTACAGTGCAAGTATTTGTAATAAAGTGAGCACTGTACACTTTGTATTGCGTTGTAACTGAAATTAATATATTTGAAAATGTAGTAAACATCCAAAAACATTTAAAATAAATGGTATTCTATTGTTGTTTCACAGCACAATTAATCGTGATTATTTTTTTAATCGCTTGAGAGCCCTACAGGTCAGTTAGTAACTCTGGTGTTCATAACTCTCTCTAAGGTTCTACTGTACCTTAAATACCTGCATAAAGTTATTTTCAATGTTAGCAATTGACACGTTAACTAATCACAAATGGAAAAGAACATGTCCTGCATGATTAGGAAGGTGATCCATGAGACTCTATAAAAGTGTGGTCCACCCAATGAGTAACAATTGAAGAGGCTGCCCTAAGTCTCCTTATTCATTGGAGAAGTTGGAAGGGGTCTTTGCCCCAAGCTCCCTTGCTTCCTGGAGAGGCCAGGGAAGAGAGAGAGACTCCTCGACAGGCCCTATTCCAGATCCCCTCACACAGGGGGTGCCCTGACACTCCTCACTTTTTGCAGGTGGGGGTGAGTTCTTCAGTGGGGGTGCGGGTTAACACTACGTCGTGTTGGGGGAGGGGACTTCCTGGGACGGTCAGTGGGTCTCTCCCACTGCTGGAGGTCCTTATGGGGACCTCTCCCCTCATTAAGGGGCTGTCTCTGGGGTCAGCGGTCGGGGGAGAGTCCCTCAGGCTGGTTTGGGGGAGGGCTCAATATTGGAAGATCTCTCCCCTGCCTGCGGGGTCTCAGGAGTTTGGTGCCTCCCCCACCCCGGTGAGCGGTTGAGCCGCCCTCTCTGGGGGTCTCGGTGCGGGCTGTGCCGCAGTACTTGGTCAGTGTCGGGGCGCGGCGCTGTGCGACAGGTGCCGCGAGACACGTTCTCACAGCTCCCACCAGCGGGCCTGGGCAGGGCGCTTCGGGCCGGACACAGGCTCAGCCTGGCAGCCGGCTGCTTTTCCAAGAAACTTGAGCCCCGCGCGCTGCCGTCCGGGCCCCTCCAAACGAGCCCAGGGGGCTAGCGCAGGCGCAGCGCGCCCGGCTCCGCAGGTCCCGGGCACTCCCGCGGCGGATCCGAGCAGGCCGGCTCCCGTGCCTGCACCCCACCATGTCCGCCCTCGCCAAGGCCTCCGGCGTCCTCAAGTCGGTGGACTATGAAGTGTTTGGCCGGGTGCAGGGTAAGTGCAGGCGGACCGGATGCATGACGCGGCTGGGTGCGCATGCGCGGAGCTGCAAGTTCGTTCCCTGCGCGAATGCGCGTAGCTGGCTGCGGCCTCTGGCCCGTGCAGCAGCGAGCCCCGCGCCCGGGGAACAGGGAGTGGGTAGGGGACCCCACTCTCGCCGCCCTCCTCCATGAGAGAGAGGCGCCCAGTCTTTTTCTTATGGCTTGCAGGAGTGGCCTCAGCTGGGCAAACGTGTTAAAGTTCAGCATGCGTCTGAGGTCTGACTACTGTCAATGTGTAAAATAAAGGGCTTGTAGAGGTCCTGCTAGTGCCCGTCAAATGTGCATTATCGTTTGATGCTTCTAGGCAGTAATCTTGCCCCTCCCATCCATATAATTTTTCCAGAGGGTTGCATAAATGGGAAGTGACTGCCTAGGAAGGAGTACTGCCGAAAAGGATCTGGGGGGTCATAGTGGACCACAAGCTAAATATGAGTCAAGAGTGTAACACTCTTGCGAAAAAAGCGATCATTCTGGGATGTATTAGCAGGAGTGTTGTAAGCAAGACATGAGAAATAATTCTTCCACTCTACTCTGCACTGATTAGGTCTCCACTGGAGTATCATGTCTAGTTCTGTGTGCCACATTTCAGGAAAGATGTGGACGAATTGGAGAAAGGCCAGAGAAGAGCAACAAAAATGATTAAAGGTCTAGAAAACATGATCTATGAGGGAAGATTGAAAAAATTGGGTTTGTTTAGTCTGGAGAAGAGAAGACTGAGAGGGGACATGATAACAGTTTTCAAGTGTGTAAAAGGTTGTTACAAGGAGGAGGGAGAAAAATTGTTTTTCTTAATCTCTGAGGATAGGACAAAAGCAATGGGCTTATATTGCAGCAAGAGAGGTTTAGGTTGGACATTAGGAAAAACTTCCTAGTTGTCAGGATGGTTAAGCACTGGAATAAATTGCATAGGGAGGTTGTGGAATCTCCATTCATTGGAGATTTTTAAGAGCACCTTAAACAAACACCTGTCAGGAATGGTCTAGATCAGGGGTTCTCAAACGGGGGTCGGGACCCCTCAGGGGGTCGTGAGGTTATTAGGTGAGGGGTCTTGAGCTGTCAGCCTCCACCCCAAATCCTGCTTTGCCTCCAACATTTATAATGGTGTTAAATATATAAAAAAGTGTTTTTAATTTATGGCGGGGGGTCGCACTCGGAGGCTTGCTATGTGAAAGGGGTCACCAGTACAAAAGTTTGAGAACCAGTGGTCTAGATAATACTTAGTCCTGCTGTGAGTGCAGGGGACTGGACTAGATGACCTCTCGAGGTCCCTTCCAGTTCTTTGATTCTATAAAAGCTTCGAACTCTCTCCGAGCTATAACTTTAAAATATGAGTGCTTGAGTTTCACAGCCGTACACTGCTGAACTACCGTAGGAGGCTGGTTTGTGTGTGAAGAACAGAAGCTTTCCCAGAGATGTGCAATAATAGTACCTCTTTACGATGAACTTGGAGGCAGTGAAATTTCATGTGTAGTGATGCACATTGTAAGCCTCCTATTGATTGAAGCACCTTTTGCGAATTGTAGCTCCACCAATGGAGTAAAGTTGTTTGGGGAGGTGGGGAGGGGGGAGGCTTTATACTAAAAGAGGTCCACAGCATTAGTAATTAGGTGAACTGACATAATAAACAGAAAAGTTTAAAGATGTTAAAAATTGATAATTAGTAGCGCACTGCTTTGAAGTTATTTCAGGAAGCCCATGATATAGTTCTGTGGGGCAACCTAGCTTATTCTAAGAAATAAGGATGTAATAAATGGAGTATGGAAATAAGTATGTACTTAAAAGACTATAATGGTCAAGTGTAGTCTAAATTATTTTTATTTTCATTCAGTGTATGTGAAAGTTAGATAAGAGGTTGATATCTTGAATCAGATAAACCTAGGATGGAAGTTTCAGTTCTTCAAGAGTGTGCTCATGTCGATTCCATTCCAGGTGTGTGCGTGCCCATGTGCACAGTTGTCAGAGACTTTTGCCTTAGCGGTATCCGTAGTTTTTGGCTGTGGCGCCCCCTTGAGTGCCACATTTATGCGTTGCTATATTAGGCGTCACCGACCCTACACCCTCTCAGTTCCTTCTTACTGCCCATGACTGTTGGTTAGAGTGCCTTGTCTTGCCTTTAGCAAGAGTGTTAGCGGTTCTTCATAGTCCTTTGTTCTACCTAATCTGTACATCGTTAATAGTAGTTGGTTAGTCTTTATAGTTTCAGAGTAGCAGCCGTGTTAGTCTGTATCCGCAAAAAGAAGAACAGGAGGACTTGTGGCACCTTAGAGACTAACAAATTTATTAGAGCATAAGCTTTCGTGGACTACAGCCCACTTCTTCTATGCATCCGAAGAAGTGGGCTGTAGTCCACGAAAGCTTATGCTCTAATAAATTTGTTAGTCTTTATAGTGTTAAGTTAGAGTACCTAGAGTCCCTCTGGGACTTTGTCCCCGAGCAGGACATGCCCCACTCACCTGGCTCCAAACCATGTGCGTCATGCAGCAGGCCGATGCTGATCAGTGACCCCCACAACAGATGCCTGAAGTGTTTAGGGGAAGCCCATAGAAAGGACAAGTGTTGCATTTGTAAGAACTTTCACCCTCGTACACAAAAGGAGCGAGGTTTCGGAGCGAAGTGCACTGCCGGCACCGGGTTCCACCTGGCAGTATTCCCCCTCGCCGGTGCTGAAGAACCCGCAGAAGAAGAGGAGCCCCTCAGCACCGAAGGACAAGGGGGCTGTGGACAAAGGACCTTTGTTAGGCAATACGCCCACTGTGGGGTTTCACAGGGGTACCGCTGTGACGAAGTGGAACTGTTCTTAATGTTTCCTCTGAATACTGTGTGGGTGCCTCAGTTTTCCCTATGCATTTCTTAAGTCTCTAGGTGGTGGGGAAAAACCAGTGTGCATAAATCACTGACACTCTGTCTCCCTGGCAACAAATGGCCAGGGCCCCTTCCCCCCCCTGCAAGGAAATAGCTAAAGGTGACCAAAGGGATCAGGTGACCTCCTGGCCCAGGAAAGAGACAAAGCTGGGAGAAGGAGGGGCTGGAGGGAGTTTCAGAGTTGGAGCTACCTGGGGACTAGGAGTGAGAGCAGACGTGGGTGTCTGGCTCTCTGAACCCCATAATGGACCTGGTCGAGGGGTCCCATTCGCTGCTGTACCTACAAGCTCTGTTTTAGACTGTGTTCCTGTCATCTAATAAACCTCTGTTTTACTGGCTGGCTGAGAGTCACATCTGACTGCGAAGTGGGGGGGTGCAGAACCCTTTGGCTTCCCCAGGACCCCGCCGGGGCGGACTCGCTGTGGGAAGCGCACGGAGGGGCATGTGCTGAATGCTCCCAGGAGAGATCCAGGAGGTGAAGCCATGTGAGCTTCTTGCCCTGAAGACTGTCTGCTCCGAGGGAGAGGAGGCTCCCCAAAGTCCTGACTGGCTTTGTGGGGAGCAGTTCCGGAGCATCGCCTGGGGACTCTGTGACAACCGCTGACTTCAGACCCCCCCAGCCCGGCCAGGGATCCACCCCCGACCCCGAGAAACGGCAAAGGTCGCTGGCCTTTGCCAGGGCCATCAGGGCCCAAAGTGGTCCAGGTGGCCAAAGAGCAAAGCCAGCCGTCTCTACATACACCACACCAGGTGACTGTCTTGGCTATGACCCCGGCACCGAAGGGGAAGCCTATGGGAGTGCAGCCTCACAGGAGGGCGGAGCACCCCTGATCACCGGACTGCAGGCGCACATCCCCATCTCCGCAACCTCGGACACTGGCACCGTATCCTAACTCTCCAGCTAGACGACCCAGGTCCCTGACGCGTTCCCCGCCTACTAGCTGCAGGATGCCAGAGCTGCGATGCTGTTCCCCGTACTGCAGGTACCGGCAAACTTCCAGCCACAGGTCGCCTAGGCCCTGTCTCCTAGACGTTGGGCACCGTCCTGGAGGGGCCGCTCAGAATCACGGCGCTGGTCCCGGTAGCCCTGGTACTGCTCCTCCAGCAGATGTCACTATTTGCCTTCACCTCGCAAGTCGCCGTCCAAAGTCAGCAGGCAAACCCAGGCCTCGACGGCTCCATCCTGGTCGCCGGAGGGACAGTGGTCTGGGTTGGACCAAGAATTTAGCCTTCACCCCGACAAGGGAATTATCCTCAATGTGGGAGATCATTGCAGCACCGACCACAGGGCCATCACAGCAGGGACAGTGGCCTACCCAGTGGCCGTACTGGAATCCATGGGGAGTGCCGGTGATGCCGATCACATATTCCCAGCCCTCCCTGGCTGCCTCGGATAAGCCAGCCATGGAACTGCTGGCGCCGCAGTCAGAGCATGGTACTGAGCCAGATGCAGCACCAGTGCACTGGACCCCGGCACCAAAGGAGCCTTCCCCAGATAAGGAGGGGGAACACGCTCTTCCTCAAGTGGGACAGTCCTTGTCATTGTCCCCTCATGAGGCGATGGCTGGGCCTTTTCACTCCAGCAGTCCCCCGGATGACTTCAGGGAGCACCAGGCCCTCCTTAATGGGCAGGTGAAAACTTAAAGCTCCAGGTTGAGGAGAAGGCGGAGGAAGCTGATGACCTCTTTGGCGTCATTTCGGCCACCTCCCCTGCTCGGGTCGCATTTCCGCTCCAACCGGGGGGTCCTTAAAATTGCCAAGTCACTGTGGCAAACTCCCTCTTCTATTCCGCGACCTCTAAGAAGATGGAAAAGAAATACTATGTCCCTGCAAGGGGGTTTGAATATCTCTATACACATCCCCCTACAGCATCACTGGTTGTGTCTGCAGTGAACGAAAGGCACAGACAGGGTCAAGTTAGCAGCACACTGAAGAACAAAGAGGCCAAAAGACTTGATTTGTTTGGCAGAAAAGTTTATTCAACGGCTAGCCTACAATTCAAGGTCTCTAATCACCAGGCCCTGCTGGGAAGCTATAATTTCAATCTGTGGGATTTCCTGAATAAATTTGAAGAGGCCCTCCCCCAAGATC